TATCGCCTTTGTATATTGCTTGTTGATTATATTGCCCACTATCTAGTTTAGATTGTTTACCCTTGAGTTTATATATCCTTGCACATACATTGCCTATATCTCTTTGTTAGGATATATCTTGTTGTTCATATTGCTTATCCTAGCTCATATACATTGTTGTATTTCATACTTGCTAGGATAACTTATTAATTAAACATTGCTATAGTCGACCCGGGCGATGACTTATTAAATGAGGACATTACCATTGATGATGACGATGTAGAAATAGCTACTGAGGGGGAAGATGCCAATCTTGTTGACTTTTCTCAAAATGTAACACAAAGAGAAGAAAGAGATTCAAGGAATGAATGGAAAGAGAAGAGGGATGACATTACAAGTGCTATGTGGCTAGACTATTGTAATAAATATCGTGGTGGGGACACAACCGAATCTGGCTTGTAATTGACGTATTAGTATTTCCAGTATTGTTGTATTTCTTAAGTTTGTCGTCGGGACTTGTTGTATTTATTAAGTTTGTCAATGGTGGTTTGATTTTATCTTTGCATTATGTGCCTTTGGTCTAACATGAGCTTTGTTCTTCATATTTTCACTATGTGATTTTATTGTAACAGGACCTCATCCTTTAAAGTATGGCTGAGTTTGGTGATAGAAATGATGATTGTGATGCCACTCCCTCCCCTAAAACCCCTGTAGCTCCTCCTTCAAACTTGAACATGAACTTCATGTCATTCCCTCGTGCACCCTTCTCTGCTCCCCCCCCCCTCCGTTTCCATCTTACTCTCCTTACGACAATAATTTCTCATATATGACTCAGCAACCTCCGTCATACATGAACATGCTTACTAGCCACCATACATTCCATGCAACCCCTAGCCCACATAACAGTGCTGCCCAATCTGGAGAGAGTCGTTCGTCAAAGAGGGTTATTGAAGTTGATGCCGAGGCAATGTCGCCATCCCGAAAAAAGAAGAAAGCAGTTGCTAAAATAAGATTGGCCTCAACAATTATAGACAAGCCTCCAAACACTAGGGATGTGCCTAACATGTATTGGAATGCCATGCATGATGATGTTCTAATCCCTGTTCTTGCTCAATTAGCAAGAGATGGCCTCAAGATTGATAAAATTTTTAAAATGCATGCATACAAAGTGGCCGCAGATGAAGTTAACAAGCAATGTGGAACTGATTTTAAAATGCATGCATACAAAGTGGCCGCAGATGAAGTTAACAAGCAATGTGGAACTGAATTCACAAAGGAGAATGTGATGAACCATATGCAATGTGGAACTGAATTCACAAAGGAGAATGTGATGAACCATATGAAGAGCTTGAAGAGCAAGTTTTTGATATGTGAACTGTGATGAACATGAGTGGTGTTGGATTTGATCCGGCATAAAAAATAGTGACCATGGATCCAGATTCATTTGATATGTGGACAAAGGTATCGATTGGTACACAGTGTATTTATCTTGCATTATTTGCGTACAATTTTATGTAGCGAGCAATTTTTTCTTAAATTTAGTTACTACACAGGATAATAAGTGCAATAGCTCAAAGTTGAAGGAGTACTTGAACACGCCTCTCACTCACTATGATGATTTGTGTACGATTGTTGGTGATGACCAAGCAAGGGGAAATTATGCCAAAGATGTGAGTAAGAAACTTGGTTCTAGTCGGCCTCTTGAATTTTCTGAGGATCCGGTCAATCTTTGTGAAAATTATAACGTTGAGACCCCCAACTCACATTTTGAGGCTGAAACACCAAGTGTTGAAAAGCTTAACCCTCACTCTCAAAATGTGAAGTCGGCTAGCGGGGTAACTTCTGCATCCAATGTCAAACCTCATTCAAAAAGAAAGGGTGGCAAGGCCAGAGATGATGATTCACTAATGCGTGAACTCATCGAGTCCATGTCCCACTCAATCCAAAACCAACATATTTTATATTGGACTGATCGCATGGCCAAGGCTTTATCTGCACATGAGGCTGATTTCTCTGAGCCAATACTGGATAAGGTTCTGGATTTTCTATATGACAATGAATCAGAATCTAGGCGGTTTATTATCAAGATGAAAAATGCGCAGAAACTTTTCATAGAGAAGATTATTCGTGAAAATGGATTTGCCAGCGATGATTTGCCGTAGTGGACACTATATTGGGTAATGGATTTGTTTCCTACCTACTTTTGCACTTTTATGGCCGTATTTATAATCAAGTTATGAACATGTTATAATCTTGTAATATCGTGAGACAACACCTTTACTTTATGTGCATGATGCAACTGCTACCTATCATGTTTCTTATTCCTGTCTTGGCTGGCTATATTTGCTGATCATCAAACAACCTTCTGACCTAATGTCCTCATAAATCATTGTTTTGTTGAGTAGTATTACCAGGCCTGAGCAGTTCCTTATGTCCCTTTTATGTTATCTTATCTATTTGCAGAGTTTATATATCGTTTGCAGGACATTAGTGTGGAAATGGATGGCTATCCGCTAAACTTGGTTCCATACATGAGAAATGCTACGTAATGTACTGGAATGGGCATTATCTCAAACAGCGGTGTCTCATCTGTGTACAGGTTATAACTATTCTCATAAGTCACTTTGGGATTTTTTGGGGATAGGCAATGAGGATTGCTCATGTTATTTGTTAATGCAGCCTATACTGTAATTGTATTGGTCTAGATAAGGCTTACCATGATGAGATTGCAATCTAGATTGCTCATGTGATTTTTAGATGAGGCAACTATTATGCGTAGGCAATCTTCAATGCAATTACAATATTTAGGCGAGACATCGTATACTGATAATATAGCTATAATCTGAGCCTTGTACTCCATTGCAGCCCCTACTAATCTCATTTAGCTGACTTGTACTCCATTGCAGCCCCTACTAATCTCATTTAGCTGATATTTTTAGCAATGCTTGCTTTGTTTGCAGCCCTTACTATCAGTTTTAATATTCAATCTCATTTAGCTGATATTTTTAGCAATGCTTGCTTTGTTTGCAGCCCTTACTATCAGTTTTAATATTCCTTTGCTTTTGGCTTTAGTTTTCAGCCTTGTTTTAATTTTTGGCTTTAGTCTCAGCTTCACTTTAGTTATGTTTCAACTTATACCCTGTTTATGATATATTATCTGCTTCAGTTTCAGCTTTGCTTCAATGCCTATATTCAGGCGAGGCATCCTATACTAATCATATGGCATCGTATACTGATCAAACTTGGTTTTACTGAGTTTTGTGCTTAGTTTTGCTGAGTTTTTAGGTTAGATTTGCTGAGTCATATACTCCATTGTTTGCCTCTCCATAAATTCATTTCATACCACATTACACTTTGCAACTACATGGCATATTTTCAAAGCTATGGATGAGTACACAGATTATAACTAAAAACAATACAATCATTTTTCCAAATGATTAGTTGATGCTTTGCAGTTTTCAAATCCCTCTTCAGCTTTTTGATTTTCATTGACCTTTTATCTTCATGAATGTCCTCACTTTGTGATACTTGATTTCTATTTCTGCTGCAATCGCCCGCTTTGTCGGCCCACTGAAAGAAGTTGCATTCCTTATTTGGGAACTTAGTGCAATCCCAATAATGTCTCCCTCTATTTTTTCCATTGGCACATAGCTTCAAGTTGTTGGAAGTTTGCATTTGCATCTAACTTCATATGGGGCACCCTCTACTTTGCTGTCCCATTGCCGCTCCACCAACCTGCAGTGGCTTTGTTGCTATGAATCTGGAAAAAAATTAGAAGCCTGAAAAATTCTTACCTGGCTGAGATGTCCTATACTTGTGTTGGGCTGTTGGTGGCTCATTATATAGGCCCCCAAGTGACTTTGTTTGTTGAGTTGTTGCAACCCCTACTAGCCATTTTTTCTTGTGTTGGCTGACGGAGACTGTGTGTAACTAGCCGTTGCTTTGCCAGCTTTGAGTGATGAAATGTTAAGAACTCTGGGGTAACTTCACCACAGGTATGTGTATACACTGATTTTTGGCCTCTTTCCTATTCTACGGTTTTGAACTAAACACAAGAGCTTTCAGGAAAAGCTTTCTTTGATGGTGTTTTCCTTTTCTTTAGTGGTGAACCAATCATGGATTTTGGATATGCTTTCTTACTCTTCACTTTATAACTTCATATCAAACACAAGTTATGGATTCCTGGTTGATCCAAAATTTTTTTTGGATATGGTTATTTGGAAGGGAATCCATTTCCATTATTTTATGGAAATGAACCAAACAGCCCCTTAGAGTAGGACAAATTTTCAAAACCACCCCTTTTGAGATTTTATTCCCAAAAAACGACCAATTTCCCTCTTATTTGTAAAAACCGACCTGGTTTCAGCCTCAGGGCTGAAACAGTCGGTTTTTACAAAAAAAAGTTCCGAAACTTCACGGGAGTTGAACTCTCGTGAAGTTTAGCAATCATTTAATTAAGCTGCTAAACTTCACGGGAGTTCAACTCCCGTGAAGTTCCACAGCTCAACCTTTTTTTTTAACTAAGAAACTTCATGGGAGTTCAACTCCCGTGAAGTTTAGCAGCTTAATTAAATGATTGCTAAACTTCACGGGAGTTGAACTCCCGTGAAGTTTCGGAAATTTTTTTGTAAAAACCGACCTAGTTTCAACGCTGATGCTGAAACCAGGTCGGTTTTTACAAATAAAGAGGAAATGGGTCTTTTTTTGGGAATAAAATCGCAAATGGGGTGGTTTTGAAAATTTGTCCCCTTAGAGTAACATGTTTGCTATATACACTCCCAAACAGTAATTTTGGGAGTCAGATTGTCGAAAATACCCTGTTGATGTTGAGGGTGTTTCTGGAATAGACTTGACCTGTTTTGGTTTGGGAAAAGGACAATTTAGTCCTCACACACCCCCAAAGTTACTGTTTGGGAGTGTGAATAGTTGGACCCTTAGAGTAACCACAATAATTCATTACCCTCCGATTAGAGTAATAAACCTGACACGGCCACATGCTTACGCTAACCTTTCGTCATTCTTCCACCATAACTATTGTCTCCTAGCTCTGCCATCTGCCAACTTCTCAGCTTCCTCCGTTCTCTTTCTCTGTTCCCCAACACTCCCTCAATCCTCTGATCATCCAACAAAAAACAAAATCATGGGTGATGACGGGTCTCCTTCTGTCCCACTCCCTCAATCCTCTGATCATCCAACAAAAAACAAAATCATGGGTGATGACGGGTCTCCTTCTGTCCTCAGACACAACATCATCGAGCTTGAGCTCAAGTTAGAAGAGGAAAAGGATAGATACAGAGATCTCAAGTCTCATTTGAAGCTCTCAAAGCTTGCTGCAAGCCAAGAAATTGACAATCAAAGGAGGGTGTGTCTCATGCAAAGAGAAGTCATGGCTCGGCTACAGGAAGACAACAAAACTCTAAGAGAAAGAGAGGCCCGGGATCAAGAAACCCTAAAGTGCCTGTTGGAAGAAATGGCGAAGAAAGACAGAGATTTCAGAGAGAAGCTTTTGGAGTTTGAATGCGGGGAGAAGAGGGCACAATGTGAGGTTCTTGAGTGGAAGAGTAAGTATTGTGAGCTCGAAGCTCGGGTGTCGAGGCTCATAGGTGAGACAGTTGCAGGTTTCGAGAGGAAAGAGAGGGAGATTCAAGAGAAAATTTTCGAGCTTGCGGAGGAGAATAGGAACCTCAAGATTCGGGCGTTGATGGTTTCAGAAGGAAATTGCTATTATGATTTCAAGGGAAAAGAGATTAATGTAGAGGAAAATCCCCGTCCCATAGAGAAGGAAAAGGAGCGCACAAGTGAAATTGGTGAGGAGGATGAAGATGAGGTTCCTCTTAGCCATCTAATCAAGAAGAGACTCGCAGATGCTTCTCATTCTTCAAAAGAATTCTTTGCTTCCCAGAAACCAAGTGAACCTGGAAGGAATGGAGGAAAGAGAGTCCCTTCTGGAGGGGAAGATGTGCATACTCCATTAGAGTCCGCAATCAAACAACAACAGGTCAGTAAAAGGGATCTCTGCCTGAATTTTCAGTTTTTTGTGTCCTTTAATATGCATCCTAGCATGGGTTTGGGAAGCTAATTAAGTTGTATTGTGCGCGGCGGAAGCTTCGAGGCGACACGAACAATAACTCGAGATAAATCACAACCAATAGGCAAATCACAATCACAGCAAGAATAACGATAACGAGTTTAACGTGGTTCGACAAGTTGCCTAAGTCCACGGGGTAAGGAGGGGGGAGTTCTTACTATTAGAAATCAAGAGAATACAAATAGAGTTACAAATCTCACCGATCAAACCCTAAAACAAAGCTCTAGATCTCTCACAAATCTCCCACAATTGGATGCAGCAATCATCTCCTAAATACTACTAAAAAACGTCCTTACTTGACACTAACTAATCAGGATTAGAGTTATATACTAACTCAAAACGAACCGGGTTGAAAAATCCAAAGCCCAGCCCAAACTCATCTGCGGTTGACCATGGCGGTCGACCACGCAGGTATTGCGGTCGACCGCACAGGTATCGCGATCGACCGAACCAAACGACAGAGACTTAAATCGATTATAGGGTTGGCGTGGTCGATCATCATGGTTGACCGCCTTCGGATCCAGCTCCTCCTGAGCTCCTGTGCATGTTCGCGATTGACCGCCGCTGACTCGCGGTCGACCGCCAGTCTGCCTGGCTAAATTCTCGCTGCTCTCCTGCACTTCTCTCGTCGCGTTCGCCAATTCTTCAATTCTCCACCTCGGCGAACGTTTTTATCAAAACTGAGCCGACACCAAATCATCCAAATGTCTTACTTGTTACGTTTAGGATGTCGTGGAAACACCCCACGACAACGGACTCAATCCACAACAAGTCGGGAACCTAACGTGAGCTGAAAAACAATCTCCCTCCATCTGAATCAACAAATTAAACCAGATGCATCTGAAAGACTGCTTACATATCCTCTTGTCCAAGGAATCAAACCAAACATAGTTCACCCAAATGGCCTCCAAAGGCCTCAACACTGAAGAATGTTTAAAAGCTTCAAACAATGATCAAATTTCACTCCTGAAACAAATTTGGTCAACATATCTGCAGGGCTGTCGTTCGTGTGGACCTTCTCCAATATGACGTCTCTATCATCCAAAACGTCACGAACAAAGTAGAATCTGACATCGACGTGCTTCGTGCGCGTATAATAAACCTGGTTCTTCGCCAAATAAATAGCTGACATATTATCACAATATACCCGAAGGGTCTCCTGTGCAATCCCCAAGTCCTTCAATAATCCACGTAACCATAAAGCCTCCTTAACAGCTTTAGTCACCGTCATATACTCTGCCTCTGTAGTAGAGAGAGTCACTATGGACTGAAGTGTACATCACCAACATACCGGTGCACCTGCCAATGTAAACACATAACCTGAAGTAGACCGGCACTTATCAAGATCTCCAGTATAATCTGAATCCACGTAACCATTACAATCCTACTCATTCTTCTCATCCTTCTGGAATACCAAACCAACATCCATGGTGTCTCGAACATATCGTAGAATCCACTTTACGGCCTCCCAATGATCCTTCCAGGGGTCGTGCATGTATCTTGATACCATGCTCACAACCTGTGATAAATCTGACCTCGTACACATCATCGCATACATCAAGCTACCTACTGCACTGGCATATAGGACATTCGACATATAATCTCTGTCCTCAACTAAAACAGGTGGCATCAACGCTGAAAGCTTGAAGTAGGAAGCCAATGGAGTGCTAACTGCTTTTGCGTTGCCATCAAAGCTGAATTTCTTCAACATTTTCTGCAAATAGCTCTTTTGTGTAAGCTTCAATCTCCCATTCACCCTGTCTCTCGATCTCCATACCCAGTATCTTCTTTGCCTCTTCAAGATCCTTCATCTCGAACTCGGATGACAGCTCTTCTTTTAACTTTGGAATAGCTGAAGAATTCCTGGAAGCAATAAGCATATCGTCAACATATAAAAGTAAATATATGTGTTCATCATCCTGTAACTTGTGCATGTAAACACATTGGTCATATGAGCTCCTCGTGTACCCATGGCTAATAATAAAGTTGTCGAATCTTTTATACCACTGTCTCGACGATTGCTTCAAACCATAAAGAGACTTCTTCAGCTTGCAAACCAAATTTTTCTTTCCTGCAGTTTTGAATCCCAATGGTTGTGTTATGTAGATCTCCTCATCTAAATCTCCGTGTAGAAATGCTGTCTTCACATCCATCTGGATCAAATCCAAATCCAACTGTGTCATCAACGTTAATAAAATCCGTATCGACGAATGCTTCACAACGGGTAAAAATACCTTGTTGTAATCAATGCCCTCAAGCTGTGTATATCCCTTGGCAACCAATCTGACTTTGAACCGAATGTCCCCAATAGAATATCCCTCCTTCGCATATACCCACTTACAACCAATAGTTTTTTTACCCTTAGGTAGCTTTACAAGTGTCCAAGTATCGTTCTTCCGAAGAGATCGCATCTCCTTATCCATAGCTTCCCTCCACCTGATCGAATCGGGGCTAGACTCTGCCTTTCTGAATGTGGATGGAACCATATCATCAACGACCTCCACTGTTACTGCATATGCGACCATGACATCATTATACCTAGCTGGCCGACGAATCACTCTCCTCGGTCTATCTATTGCAATGGACCCCTAAACATGACCCTGCTCCTGAGTCTCATCATCCACTGTATCCTCTATCTACCCGGCTGTCATCTTACCTCCTCCCAGTGTCATTTCTGTAGGAGCCTCGATTGATACAATGTTATCTGGAGTGGGTGGAGTCACATCATTATCCACTGCTGTCATATCTCACCTGTCTGGTCTCCCTTCACCTGCTGAGGGACTCGAGGCCTCATCATGTACGTCTCATCAAATGTGACATCTCTGCTAATAACTATCTTCTTGTCCTGTGAATCCCATAACTTAAAGCATTTAACTCCATCTCTAAATCCCACAAAGACAGCTTTCCTCGCTCTCGGATTTAATTTACTATCACTGACACGGTAATAAGCTGGACACCTAAATATCTGAGCGACTCATAATCACTAGTCACCGAACCAAACCAACGCTCCAAAGAAGTCTTCCCGTCTATCGGAGTGCACGGTAACCTATTCACGAGATGGCTCGCATAAACCAACGCCTCGGCCCAAAAGGATCTAGGCAATCCACTCTGCGTCATCATACATCGTATTTTCTCCAGCAATGTACGGTTCAATCTCTCAGCCACCCCGTTCTGTTGTGGTGTCTCTCGAACTGTGAAGTGTCTTCTAATGTCGTGATCCCGGTAAAATAGCAGAAATGGACCACTCTTGTACTCTCCACCGTTATCTGAACGTAAAGTTTTTATCTTTTTACCTGTCTGTAGCTCTATTTTCTTCTTTCACTCCATAAAAATATCCAGGACCTGATGTTTATGCTTCATAGGGTATACCAAATTCCTCCTGAAATAATCATCAATGAAAGTGACAAAATAGTTGGCCCCACCAAGAGATGTGTTCTTGGAAGGACCCCAGACATCTGTGTGAATATAATCCAATGTACCTCGGGTGTTGTGAACAGCGGTGCCAAACTTCACTCTAGTCTTCTTCCCAAGTACGCAATTCTCACACAGCTCCATCTTACAGGTCTTAGCACCTTTCAATGGTCCATGTTTCGTCAATGACTGTAGGGACTTATCACATATGTGTCCAAGTCTCATGTGCCATAAAGTGATAGTGTCCTCCCCTGTAGTGATAGAAGCTGTCAGACCTCCCATAACTGTCTTACCCTTCAAGTAGTATAGGTTATTTTCCCTGACACCTCGCATCACCACCATAAAAGCCTTCGTGACCTTCACTATAGCACCCTATAAGATCACTCGATATCCAGCTGCCTTCAAAGTCCCAAGAAAAATGATGTTCTTCGTCAACTGCGGCATGCTCACTTCCTTCAACTCCCTAATCACTCCATCATGCATCCTAATCCGGACTGAACCAATACCACCAAAAGGACATACGTGGTCATTACCCATAAGTACGACATCCCCTCTTTCCAGCTCCTTAAAGCTAGAGAATCAATTCCTCCTAGGAAAAATATGATATGTAGCTCCCGAATCCATCATCCACTCCGTGGAATCGGCATAGCAAACCGATGATAGTGCAGGGCGCGAATAGCACGAAGAATCTGACTCTGAATGTTCATCAATAGCTTTTGCAATATTCACTTTTGAAGCTTGTACAGCTTTTTCCTTATTCTTCCCGGCTTTTTCTTTTCACTTTGGGCAGTCAATTTTTTAATGTCCTTTACAATACCGACATTGATTTCTATCAACACTCTTATAGGCACTCCTATTCTTTGACTTTGAGCGTTTGAACTAGCGATGGTTTGGATCTCGGCCTCGAACTGCTAATGCATCTCCCGATGCCTTCTCGGATGGTTCACCATCATTCTTTCTCAACTCATAATTCACCAAAGCTGAGGTCACCTCCTTATAACTAACTGTAGTTCTTCCATTGATCTTAGTGAGAACAAACGTATCATAATCATCCTCGGGCAACGAACACAAAAGTAACATCGCACTGTCTTCATCCTCAATCATGATATCCATATTGGTCATATCTGAAAGTAGCTTCGTGAAATTATTGTCATACTCCCTGATGGAAACTCTCATCTTCATCTTGAACTGGTAAAACCTCTTCTTCAAGTGAAGCCGATTCTCAATGCTCTTCGTAAGATACTTCTCATTGAGTGTTTCTCATATCCTCTTCGCCGACATCTCGTTCGTTCGTCATGTCATAAATAAGATTTGGCGTCAATCATGACCAAATAACTCCACAAGCTTTACTGTTCATCTTCTTCCAAATCTTATCCTCCATGTCTTCGGGTTTCTCTTGTAATTCAAGAGTCCTCCAAATTCTGTGCATCCAAGACGTCCATCACCTGACACATCCACAATCCGAAATTAATCTTACCATCGAACTTCGGAACATCAATATTCGTGTTATTGATGCTCAGACTTTGTATCGCCTCTGTAAGAGACGAACATGATGTGCTGGCTTCTCCCATGTTGTCGATCTAACTCTTCAGATCAGAATTCTTCATCGAATCCTTCGAACAAGCTCCAAGCCTAACCTGTAGCTCTGATACCAATTGTTGTGCGCGACGGAAGCTTCGAGGCGACATGAACAATAACTCGAGATAAATCACAACTAATAGGCAAATCACAATCACAGCAAGAACAACGAGTTTAACGTGGTTCGGCAAGTTACCTACGTCTACGGGGCAAGGAGGGGGAGTTCTTACTATTAGAAATCAAGAGAATACAAATAGAGTTACAAATCTTACCGATCAAACTCTAAAACAAAGCTCTAGATCTCTCACAAATCTCTCACAATTGGATACAGCAATCCTCTCCCAAAGACTGCTCAAAAATGTCCTTACTTGACTCTAACTAATCAGGATTAGAGTTATATACTAACTCAAAACGAATCGGGTTAAAAAATCCAAAGCCCAACCCAAACTCATCTACGGTCGACCGTGACGGTCGATCGCGCAGGTATCGCAGTCGACCGTGCAGGTATCGCGGTCGACCGACCCAAATGACAGATACTTAAATCGATTACAGGGTTGGCGCGGTCGACCGTCACGGTCGACCGCCTTCGGATCCAGCTCCTCCTGAGCTCCTGTGCACGTTCGCGGTCAGTCTGCCTGGCTAAATTCTCGCTGCTCTCCTGCACTTCTCTCGTCGCGTTCGCCAATTCTTCAAGTTGCTCTTCATATCATTTTGCTGTTGTTTTCTAGTCATTATGTATGCACGGAATTTGGTTTAGTTACCTACAGATCTTAGTTACTTTCAGCAGTAGAATAATGTAAAGACTAAAGAGAAGAAATTAGAGTATAACTTGTAGGTGTTATTTTCATTTATTGTGCTTTGGTATTAGGGCTCAAAGGAAAATATTGAAAGGCCTTCTTTATTTTACAGGAAAGTAATATAGTCTCCAATTCGAGGAAAACGTTTAAATTGACAGATCTGAGTTCCTCAGTATCAGCAAGAAATCCAGGGTCTACTGGCTTCAATGGCGTATGCTATCTATCCTTTTTTTCCCTCAACTCAAGAGAAAGTGGTAATTGGAGCTCGACTACTAATTCACATATATTTTCATATGACTACTGAAATGGGGTCCCCTTGTATGTCTAGTCTTTTACATTTGTTAAATCTTCAGTTTTAGTTGGAGAAATATTTTGCTATCAATAAAACTGTTTAGTTAACGAATATTTGTAATGAGTTTAAGATTCATATCATTACCTTGCATCTTGATAAAGTAAGAGAGAGAGTGTGTGTGTGTGTCTTGGGTAATTTTCTCTTGAGTTGAATATTGAGTGTGCACATATATTTATACAAGTAGAAGAGGGTGACGTGTGTTCTCACAACCAATGTGGGACTAAAAACCCACAACTAACACTATTATCAACACTAATATCAACAGTCCCCCTCAAACTCATGTTGGATCAAACAAAGTGAGTTTGCGTACAAAAAACTGGAACCGATGAACAGGTAAGGTCTTTGTGAAGAAATCTACAAGCTCGTCGGCGGATGACACATGAGGAAGTAGAATTGTCTTATCATTGATAACTTGTTGACAGACAAAATGAGCGTCGATCTCAATGTGTTTGGTCCTCTCATGAAATACTGGATTATTAGCAATCTGGATGACACTCTTATTATCACAATATAGAGGAGTAGTAGTCGAAACAGAAATATCGAAATCACTGAGAAGACGACGAAGATGAACAATCTCTTTAGCTGTTGTGGACATTGCACGATACTCTACCTCGGTGTTGGAAAGAGCAATAACATCTTGTTTCTTACTCCGCCAGGAAATAAGGAAATCACCAAGAAATATACAATAATTTGTGGTAGACTTCCTGGTAGTGAGATCACCAGCCCAATCAGCATCAGAATATGCACAAAACTCTAACTTGGATGTAGCAGAAAACAGAAAAGAGCGAGTGGTAGTACCCCGGAGATACCGAAGAATCTGTAATAAGATAGCATAGTATACAGAACGTGGGGCACTAACAAATTGACTGATAATGCCAACAGCATGAGAGATATCTGGTCGAGAGATGAACAGATAGACCAACTGGCCAACAAGATGTCGATATCGGGTAGGATCAGATAGAGGCTCACCATCAGTAGAGCGAAGTTTGACATTCTGTTGGAGTGGAGTATCGACAGTTACATCGTTAGTTAGCTCGGCTCGATCTAGAATATCCGAGAGATACTTCTGTTGAGACAGTAGTACACCCCGCGGGTCTTGAGAAATTTTTAGACCAAGAAAATACCGAAGAGATCCAAGATCCCTCATGTGGAACTGTTATTACAACTAAGATTTTACGTACTGTATACCAGCCATATCATCACCTGTAATGATCATATCATCTACATAGATGAGTAATAAAATTCTGTCACGCGATGTAGTATGAACAAACAAAGAAGCATCTTGATGACTTTTCATAAAGCCCGCCTTGAGCACGACATTGCGAAAATACTCAAACCAAGCATCGGGTGCCTGCTTGAGACCATAAACAACACGGCGAAGAAGACATACATGTCTCGGAGGAATATTAGATCCTGAAGACGGTTGCATATATACTATCTCAGATAAAGAGCAATGAAGAAAAGCATTTTTGACATCCATTTGGTATAAAGGCTAACGATGAGCAGCAATGACCGCAAGAAGAGTACGAACGATGGACATCTGAGCAACAGGAGCAAATGTCTCCTCATAATCAATACCTTATTACTGAATAAAACCTCGAGCCACTAAACGAGCTTTCTGATGTTCAATGGTGCCATCAGGACGATACTTGGCCTTATACACTCATTTACTGCCAACTAAAGAGATGTCAAGGGGATAAGGAACAACATCTCATGTATGTGTTTGCTGAAAGGCCTGAAATTCCTCAGTCAGCCTGTCGCCACTCTGAAAATTGAACGGGCTCTTGAAAGGACTTTGGCTCAACTGTAGTAGAATGACAGCAAGAAAATTATGAAAGATAGATGAATAGGAAGTAAAAAGTCTCAACTGTAGTAGAATGACAGCAAGAAAATTATGAAAGATAGATGAATAGGAAGTAACCGAAGCATACCGTGCAGGCATGACATGTGGTCGTTTGCCTCGACGAAGAGCAAGAGGAACCTCAGGCGGGGAGATGCTAGCGCAGGTGCATAGAGGTCAACAATATTTTCTGGAGTGGGTGTCGTGTCTACGGGATAGGGATCAGATGGTGAAAGAGAAAGCTCGGATGAGGGAGAGTCAATAGAAGGAAATGGAGAGATTTCAGTGAGATCTCGAAAGAAGAATTGAGGTAAGAAAGTGGGTGATGTAGCTGGCGGAGAAGCAAGATCAGTAGTATGGAGGAAATTAAAATCATCGGAAGCAGAATAAAATGGAGAATCCTCTTCGAACTGAACGTGTCGATATATATGAACTCGACGAGATGCGGGATCATAACAACGATAACCTCGATGTTCCGAACTAATTCCTAAATAGACACAGAGAACAGCTCTGGGAGATAATTTATCACGTTCGTGAGATGACAGAAGAACAAAATAACAACCAAAAACACGGACCATATCATAACGGAGAGGATGAGTATAAACACGACTATTAGGAGTAGCACCGGAAAGAGAGCTAGATGGAGTGATATTAATGGCATGAGTAACAATGAGAATGACCTCAGCCTAGAAACGACGAGGAACAGAGTAAAAAATGAGCATGGATCGAGCGGTATCGAGAATATGACAATGTTTGCGTTCAGCAATATCATTTTAGTCATGAGTGTAGGGACATGATTGTTAAAAGATAGTCTCATGAGAGGACATGATAGAGTGCATGCCGCATGGTAGAGGATAAGTACTCTTTAGCACAGTCAGAACGAAAAACTTTAATACGAGCTTGCCATAGAGTGAAGATCATCGCAGTGAAGGCTTGATAAGCAACTAGTACGTCAGAGCGATTTTTAAGTAGGTAGACCCATGTATGACGAGAGAAATCGTCAATAAAACTAACATAATATAAGTAGCCAGATGAAGAAGACAGAGGAGCTGGCCCTAGATATCAAAAATGGATCAAATCAAATAAGGAAGTAAAAACAGATGTTCTGGTTGGAAACGGTAAAGCAATAAATTTAGCCAATTTACAATCAATACATGACTCAATATGAGAACGAGAGGATACGGGACCAAGTACTCTGCATTGGATAAGACTCTTCAGCCTTTTATGGGACACATGACCAAGTCGTCTATGTCACAAATCTACGAAAAGCAAGGTAGAGGACTTACAGAAGCAACAAGAGAACGTGGACGTATGGACTTTGGAAGGTGAAGATATTCCAGAAAATACAATTTTTGTCTCCTTCAATCGGCCCCGATAGTTTTGTCCGTCTGTGGATTCTGCACAATACAAGTATTAGAAGAAAATGAGACAAGTAGGCCATCCATATATAAGAAGCTAACAGAAATTAAATTCAAACACAACTGAGGAGTCACATAGACGGGGCCAAAAGTTAGACGACCAGATGGGTCAATGTGGGATGATAGAGCCATACTGAGTGATAGACAAAGATTGTCCAACAGCCGTGTAGTTAGGGGGAAAGAAGAGAAAGTGAAGATAGAAAATAAGGAGGAGGTATTACAAGTCATATGAAAGGAATAATCAGAGTCAAAAATCCAGAGATCATTCATACCAGACATCGAAGGATTGGCTGAAGAACCAGCAAGACGCATACCAGAGAGTTGTGCAATAGATGTAGAGGCTCTATGCTGAAGAGCATCAATTTGATGGCGAATATCAGAGAGTTGTGCAGCAGATGGAGAGGTGGTATGCTGAAGAGCCTCAATTTGACGGCTAATATTTGCAATAGCTTGAAGAACCTCAATTTGACGGCGAATATCAGAGAGTTGTGCAGCAGGTGGAGAGGTGGTATGCTGAAAAGCCATAATTTGACGGCTAATATCTACAATAGTTTGAATAGTAGGATCTGAAGTGGTAGATGGCATAACATTAACCAGTAATCCTGGTGCACTAGAGCATCAATTTGATGGCGAATATCAGAGAGTTGTGCAGCAGATGGAGAGGTGGTATGCTGAAGAGCCTCAATTTGACGGCTAATATTTGCAATAGCTTGAAGAACCTCAATTTGACGGCGAATATCAGAGAGTTGTGCAGCAGGTGGAGAGGTGGTATGCTGAAAAGCCATAATTTGACGGCTAATATCTACAATAGTTTGAATAGTAGGATCTGAAGTGGTAGATGGCATAACATTAACCAGTAATCCTGGTGCACTAGAGGATCTAGACTGAGGGGATCGCTGATTACGGCCAGTTCCTGATGAACGTAACTCAGGATGAAGCTGGAAACATGTCTTAAAGCGGTGTCCCTCTTCCTTGCAATAGGTGCAAAAGAGCTTAGACCGAGCCTGAGAAGTAGGTGCCAGTGAAGATGTCATAATAACAGTAATTCAAAGGTGAAAATGTAACCCGAATGTTAAAATGGAACCCGAAGGTTAAAAGAAAACCCAAAAGTTAATGTAGAAACTCAAAGGTTAAGCTGTAAGAACCCGAAAGTTAAATTTGAACCCGAAGGTTATACATGACTATCAAATCTGAGAAAAAGAAGCAACCGACGACCAAGGTGGCGCGAAGATCGGTCAGATCTGATGCTCACGCCGAAGACCTATAACGGATTAATGCCGACGTTGAGACGTCGAGATGGATTGAACTTACTGACTGTAAAACGGCAATGTCGTTTGTTTAAGGCCAATAAACTGCTTGAAACGGCAATGTCGTTAATTTAAGACCAAGAGACGGTCTTGAAACAACGATACCGTAAATTTGAGACCAAAAAGATGGTATTGAAACGGCGATGACGTTAATCTAAGTCCGAGAGACAGTCTTGAATACGAGAACGCGAAACGCGTTAAGAGGCCGCAAAGCGGCAATGCCAAAAATCTGGCAGAGGAATGCAAAAAAAGGCGTTAAACGGCTGCAAAACAGCAAGGCCAAGATTTGACAAAAGAACGTAGAAGCGTTAAAAAAGTATTGGAAGAGAAATAATAACCCTAGCTCTGATATCATGATAAAGTAAGAGAGAGCATTAGGTAAATTTCCCTTGAGTTGAATATTGAGTGTGCACATATATTTATACAAGTAGAGGATGGTGAGGTGTGTTCTCACAACCAACGTGGGACTAAAAACCCACAACTAACACTATTATCAACACTATTATCAACACATCTCAAATCCTACTATGTTGGGACTTATATTACTTGTTTGATGATTGCCCTATGAGCTCTTTAATACTATTCCATGAATTGATAAAATTACCCAAGCTAGTTTACTTACATAAATATAAGGTATTTGGATTATAGGTCATTTCTTTACTTGCATGCCTAGTGAGGGAGGCTATGAGAATGATGAAATATGCTTGATTCTATCATATAATTGCATCTTTATTAGAGTGCAATCCAATTTAATATGCAACAAATTTGATGGAAAAAGATGTTAAGTAATTCAAAATTATCAAAATGATAGAAAATTTGTTTCACAAATGTCTCTATGGGAATCACTGAACACTGGCAAGCAGTAAAAGTTGTGAACGACGGATAATTTTTTTCAGGCATCTAAAACAATTAATAGTACCTTTTAGAATCATTATTGAAGTAGAGGAACAAGAAGAGCTTGTCAAAGAACATTTACAATGAATGTCGTCTGAGGACGTAGGCCTTGCACCAAAATTCATTAAATTCGTGGTTACAATTGTCATACATGTTTGCTTTGATCTTGATATATGTCTGTTTTTTGTTTTCAGTAACAAATGAGAAGTCAGTATATGTCAGGGCAACTATGCAAAGACAGTCTCAAAATTAATCTCGTTTTCTCTTAGATGTATCTCTTTTTATCCTCATCACACTTTACAATTCTACGGGGACAATGTTTTGATGTTTGAGGTCTCGTTTTGCTAACTTCATTGCCGAAAGAAAGCTTGATTACTGAAGTGCTCAAAATTTTGTATCAGGTTGTTCAAAGAGGAGATCAAAGTTACAGCAAAAGGTATTATTCAATAAGTAGAACAATATTCTTGTTTAACGGATGTGAATGTGTTTTGTCCTTATGTTTCCAGCACGGGCAATCCTCGGGTATATACTGGACGAACTCCAACTTTAGAACAACCTAAGCATGCAGAAAAGAGAGCACAGGTACTTCAGAGAAGTCTGAGGACCCCTTCATTCATTAGATCTATGGCCTTGTCACACGTCTCCAGTTGTTTCTGGATTGTAAGTTATGGATAACTAAAACAAGTTAAGTGCATCGTAACCTGAAAATTCTGACACTTACATTTGAAATATCCATTCTTATTCTTAGAGTCTTCCTACAAAGTTCTGCAAGGAGAATCTCCCTGCTCTTGATCTTAAAATGATATTGGAAGACGAGAGGGGTTCAGAGTATGCGGTCAACTATTTTGGTAGTAGAACTGCTTTTAGTGGTGGGTGGCGAGGTTTTGCTTTGGCTCATACGTTGGAATTGGGCGACACATTAGTATTTGAATTACTCGAGCCAACAAGATTTAAGGTATGACCGTCTTTTGCATATGACTGTTTATCTTCATTTAGTGTTATCCTTGTTTATTATATGACTACTGAACAAGGCACAGGTTTAATCCTACTACAAATAGTATGGATCCATCGGATTGGTCTATTTGAACGATTTCTTGAGATTGATGCTTCTATATTTATTAGGTTCTTTGATATGTGACTATCTATAAATATTCCAGAAATGAACTGTGGTGTTTCTGAAATGAATCTGGAATAAATCCACAATTACTGTCACACCGTAATATCAACGGTCTCCATAGCTGGTGAAGTTAGCTTGTGTTGTAAGTCAAAATTGTCATTGATGCCACCCTACAGTATACCTTTTTGATTGATTTCCATATACAACATATGCTCTTCCTAATAATACCTTCTTTGTTTGATTTATCCCTGGCTTATAAAAATTCAAATTTATACTTTGACCCCCAGCAGCAAACATTTATGGCCTCTCTATAATGCTTCCAGCTTGTGTTCTCCAAAGATCCAAGGCCAATAGATATTAATAGATATGTCAACAAGTTAGCAGATTTTACATGTCATTGCTCAATGCTCCACTTTCTCTTTCTCAGAGATAAAGTGAAACCCCAATATATTTTGTTCACTCTTCTTGGACATGACCAATGCAATGAGCATGACTGCTTAATTGTTATAACCTAGCCTCATAAAGGATGACAAAAACCATGTCACCATATTTCATGTTAGGTATTTTTCATTACTAAATATTCTGATTCCATTAGATCAAAAAATGCTACTCTGCTTCTTAAATCTTCTGGATATCAAAAATTAACACATAATATGTGTAGCAAACTTTCTATCTGATTGGTAAACCTAGGTAATTAGAATATCTATACTTTGTTTATAATAAAATTCGCCTGAGCATATCTGAAATTCCTCAAATTCAAGCTGCAACTTGCTCAGGAAAAATTGATGGACAATAATCATCAGATGAGTATTTCATTAACTGAAATAATTCGATTTACTTGCCTCCTATATCTCTTTGGATCACTCAATGAATCTCCGCAAGACGACTTGAGTTGCATCAATGGGATAATTTTGGGTTAGAGAAGAATTGAAACCCTAATCTTATTAATGAAATAACATGGGCTTATATAGGCCCCCTACAAATACATCTTACAAATAACCCCCTTAACTATTCTAATATGTCAACACTCCTCCTCAAGATGGGCGAAAGATATCCACTAAGCCCATCTTGTCACATCCTCTAATCATATCTACTGAGCTAAGTCCCTTAGTCAGACAATCTGCTGCCTAGTCTTTAGTTGAAACATGACTTAACTCCAGTAATCCACTGTCCAACTTCTCTTTGATGAAGAACCTATCGATCTCGATGTGTTTGGTTCTATCATGCTGCACTGGGTTATTAGCGATACTGATGGCTGACTTGTTATCACACCACAGCTTCATCTTTGCTCCTTGATCCAGCTTCAGCTCCACCAGCATACTCTTCAACCACAACAACTCTGTAACTCCCAAGGCCATGGCTCTATACTCTGCTTCAGCTGTTGATCTTGCCACCACTGACTACTTCTTGCTCTTCCACGAGACCAAGTTGCCTCCTATGAAGATGCAGTATCCTGAGGTGGACCTCCTGTCAGAGACCAAGTTGCCTCCTATGAAGATGCAGTATCCTGAGGTGGACCTCCTGTCATCAGCACAGCTAGCCCAATCCGAGTCACAGTAACCCTCAATATTCACATGTCCATTCTTTTCAGCCCTTTTCCGGGGGCACTCTTCAAATACCTCAGAATCTGGTATACTGCGTCCATATGACCCTTCCTTGGATCGTGCATGTAGCGACTCACCACGCTCACTGCAAAAGAAATATCGGGACCTGTGTGACTCAGATAGATCAACCTTCCCACCAGCCTTTGGTATCTGTCACGATCAACTGGTTCTCCAGCTTCAGCACCCAGCTTGAACCTCTGGTCGATCGGTGTAGTTGCAGGTTTGTATCCTAACATCCCTGTCTCTTTGAGAAGATCCAGTGCATATTTTCTCTGGGATAGGACGATCCCCTCCACTCCTCGAGCTATCTCTATTCCAAGAAAGTATCGAAGCAAGCCAAGATCTTTCACCTCGAATTCCTTACCTAGTCTCACTTTGAGTTGGGCAATCTCCTTCTCATCATCCCCTGTAATAATCATACCATCCACATATACTGCAAGCATGGTGATATGACCTTCACTCCGTCGAAAGAATACGGTATGATCGGCGTTAATCTGCTGGTATCCCATACCTATCATAGCCCGCCTAAATCTATCGAACCAAGCACGGGAAGATTGCTTCAGGCCATAGAGAGACTTTTTTAATCTGCAGACTTTGCCCACTGTCTGATCTGTGTCGAATCCTGATGGTATTTCCATGTATACCTCTTCCACCAGATCTTCATGAAGGAATGTATTCTTCACATCTAGTTGGTGTAGCTTCCATCCACCATTTACTGCCAGAGAGATCAAGGTTCGAACAGTGCTCATCTTCGCCACCGGTGCAAAAGTCTCATCATAGTCGATTTCATACGTCTGACTATATCCTTTTGCCACAAGACGAGCCTTATAACGCTCAACCTGTCCATCTGGATTCTGCTTCACAGTGAAGACCCACTTGCATCCAACTGCTCTTTTTTTTGTAGTTTTACTAACTTTCAAGTACGGTTCTTCTCAAGAGCCCCTAGCTCTTCGTGCATAGCCTTTTTCTACTTTGGATCCTTCTTAGCATCCTGCCAATTGTTAGGTACAGTAACAGAGTCCAAAGATGCAATGAATGCTCCATGTGCAGGATGAATGTTAGAATATGATACAAACTGGGCAAGATCCCATCCATATCTATCGAGAGGATTTCTTGCATTACTACGAGTAGTCATCCGTACTGATATTGGTGTGGGGGGAGTAGGGAGAGGAATGTTATCACCTTGAGATAAAACTGGTGGTGGTGTAGGTGTCTCAGGAGTCGGGGCAGGCATTGGCAAGAGACTTGGCAGCACTAGTGGTACTGTAGGTACTGTTCCTGTAATTTGCTTTTCCTTCCTACTATAGGTTAGTAGCTCCCCCTGAACCGTGGGCCTAACACCTCTTGTCTCGTTTTTCTTTTCTTCTTCATTCTCTTGCTCCTCCTCAACCAATTCTCCCTCCCAAGGAATCGATACAGAAATTGATTTCTCCACATTGTTCACCGATCTCTCACCATTCTCCTCCTCTCGCCTCATACTTCTAGTATTGGGCGAGTTACCAATGGATGAAGTTACTTTCCGGGTGTAATATGGCTCGAGTTCTCAAAAGTGCACATCCATGCTCACAAACAATCTTTTCTTCATCGGGCTCCAGCAAACATATCACGTCTGAGTAGCAGAATATCTCACAAAGATGCACTTCACAGCTCTAGGAGCAAGCTTCCCGACAGATGGCCTGTTGTCCTTCACAAAGTACACACAGCCAAACACTCTAAGTGGAAGAATCTCACCATTATCTCCCTTCAACGTCTCACACGGAGACTTCCAATCCAGCACTCTCGAGGGCATCCTGTTGATCAGCGTTGCTGCGGTCAATACTGCTTGCCCCCATAATATTTCTGGGACATTCATAGAGATCATCATGCTTCTAGCAACCTCTAAAAGATGTATGTTCTTCCTTTTCGCTACCCTATTCTGAGCTGGTGTGTATGGACATGTTGTCTGGTGCTGTATTCCCTGAGCTGATAAATATTCTTCAAGCGCTCTATTGGTATACTCTGTCCCATTATCCGACCTCAATACCTTCACTACTGCTCCGTATTGAGTCTGAACATTCCTATGAAAGTTTTGGAAGCACCCAAACACTTTACTCTTATTCTTCATCAGGTATAACCAAGTAACACGAGAGAAATAATCAATAAATGTAACAAAATACTTGTATCCATTCATAGAACTTGTGGAACAAGGTCCCCAAACGTCTGAATGTACCAAGTCAAATGCATGAGAACTTCTATGACCAGAACTAACATAAGAGCTTCTAGTAAGCTTTCCAAACTCACATACATCACGCACAAGTTTCTGTTTATTTGCTTTCTCAAATAAAGAAGGATACAATCTACCTAAAACACTAAAGGATGAGTGTCCCAAACGCTGGTGATGAAGCATTAACTCACTCTCAGCACTCATTTTAGATCATACTCTTGCTTCCTCTACAACTGACACCAATGCTGAATCCAGCCCTTCACGATTCAGATACCACAATCCACTACGCCATGTGCCAGTCCCGAGTCTCTGCCCTGTCCCCTTCTCCTGAAAAATCACTTTGGGAATATCAAAAGAAACAATGCATTTTAGTTGGAGGATGATAGAACTAATAGACAAAAGATTGACTGGAAAGGAAGGAGCATGCAAAACATTGGACAAAGTTACAGAACCAGTACAATCGACTGTACCCTTATCAACCACCGGCTGAAATATACCATCAGCTGTTTGAATACTATCAGGCGATGTTAGGTGAGTATATGATGAGAACTCACTAGCATTACCTGTCACATGTCGAGACGCACCGGAGTCGACTATCCATTCTGATGATCTGTCGGGAGATATAGAAGCAAGAGCATGTATGTCATCAGTACTTTTGGTCGGATGAGCATATGTAGCAGTGTTGCCTCTGGCGAAGAACGAAGTAGATGCCTCCTCAGTCCCACTCCTCAAGTCATCATCCCTTGCTACTTGCTGCTTCCTCCTGAGTATTGCCAGGAGAGCACGATCTTCCTCAGTAAAGACCACCTCAGCTTCTTCTTCCTCTGCTACCATCAGATTCGCCATGTTCCCTGCTCCTCTTCCACCTCGTCGACCCCCACGGCCACGACCACGACCTCCGAACTGTCCACGTCCAGCCGAATCTCCTTCCTTGGGTGGCTTGGTGCAAGCATGCCTTAGATGACCCACCGCACTGCAGTTATAGCACTGTCGAGTCTCTCCCCTAGATCCAGTGTTGCTAGAGGCTGCCA